GTGATTGGCCAATTTCTTAAAGCTTAGGGCTTAAATCATCTATTGTAGACTGGGACTAAAGCCCGCTGCAGACGATGCTATTTTTCCTGCTGAATTGCTTGCGATTTAGTAAATTACTATCATTGCACCACTCAGCATTCAGGATTCCTAGTAATTTACTAAATTGCAAGCAATCCAGCAGGAAAAATAGCATCGTCTGCAGCGGGCTTAAGTCCCAGTCTACAATAGATGATTTAAGCTCTAAGCTTTAAGAAATTGGCCAATCACGGTCAAGTACGAGTAGAATACACGACTGTGATTAGTCAATTTCTTAAGGCTTAGGATTTAAATCTCTATTGTAGACTGGGACTTAAGCCTCGTCTACATAGAAGTCGTAAAGTCGTAGTCATATGAATAGTCGACTATGATTGGTCAATTCTTATGTGTCTAACGAAATTGACCAATCGCAGTCGATTATTCTTACGACTACGACTCTGCAACTCGCATTGTAGACCCCGCATAAGAGAAACGTATGCTCAAACTCTGCTCTAATAGAAAAGTTGCAAAATAATTGGCTATCGCATAATTTTTAGCCAATTCAAGAATAGAAGCCCGGTGGTGAGGGTAGGTCCAAATATGGTCGCATTTCATGGGCGCTGTTCGCAATATGGTCGACGGCCAATTCGGAAACTACGCGTGTGTCAAAGTTCGTTTACGTTGTTTGTTGTGAACCGTTGTGTGAAAGAAGTGAAATTATGTCTTAAGGTGCGTTGTATTATGAATTGTGGGAGTAAATGTTCCAATTTGGGTCCGAATAAAAGTATGTTGCACGGCACTTCGAAGTCCAGCACGCGTAATTGGTGAATTGGCCGTTCGACCATACTGCGAACAGCGCCCGTGAAACGCGACCACATTTTAACCTACCTCCACCACCGATTTAAGCAGGAGTTGAGTGTTGAGTCTCCTGGTCTCCAGTCTTCTTGGATTTACCTCGATTCTGTTTTGCACCTTAAAATTTTACAAGGTAAGGTTCAGGTTTGAATTTGGTGTTTCCGCCGAAGCGCTCACTCATCAACCCCCAACCCGATTCTGATCCGACTCCAGCCCGACTTTGACCCTCGATGGAAACATAGTCACTGTTGTAAGTACAGACGTTTTTATTATAATAGCTAACAAACTTGTCTTACTTGCTTAGATTGCTAAGATAAAAATTAAACAGTCTCGTAACTGTTGTATAGATGCAAGACTAATTAGTGAACATTGGCCATTTATAAATTACTCCATAGAAGAGAGTACCGTAAAGTATGACATCGACGTTTGCAAGACCTTAAAAGTTATAATCATAATTGAAATGCCACTTTACAATGCCGTCGCACTCGTGTATTGCTCGTGATATCGCTTTACCTTGCTGAAATTCTCCATTGAAAAGACGTAGATCTTGCAGGCGCTCAAGAAAATGGGATTAAGGGTCTTTTCCATCATAAACAGGAACATTCTCTGCGACTTGACGGACGTTTCGTACCAAAGGCTATTATAGCTGCAATGCTCGAGTGATCACGTGCATGAATTCCACCATATAATATAATAATTATAAAATAGTGACTATCACGAAATTTTATATCTTACATTTTCTCGCGAATTTCGAGACTGTGATCTATCAGCTTCTGACCCTCGAAACTGAGGCAGAATAGATGAATCAGTTGACTAAGGACATACACTATGTACCTCATCACTAAATAAAAACTGGCGTTTCGCTGCGTGATCTCGCGTGAGCATGAAAAGTATATAACATGTATTTTAATTCCTCGCGCGTTACGTCCTTTCGTCAGGTTTATTATTATAATTACATGTATCACTATTGTATTTACTGGACGGTTTCATCTGTAAAACGTACGTACTTGCAACAGGGTTACACTAATCAGTATTGTATTTAGCATCACTTGTATGGCGAGCGTTAACGAAAACGTGTCTTCGATCAATTGAGCGAATCTATGATAAGGCAAAAACGAGAAATCGTACATGTTACACAAGGAGCTGTTAAGTGAGTAACGCGAGATAAATCGAATTTGTTCCCTCTGTATTTACATAGTGTATATTACAGATCGACTATACTCACTTTAAAGCCTTTCGATGCGTGTATACGGAAAATGCAATTTGTTTGCAATACGCGTCGCTCGTACGAGATTGTAAAATGTTGGCGGTGTCGTTGCGTTTATACGTCAATCGTTCGAACCGAAATCTGCAAATATAATATATGTGTATATATTTGCCATTGCCGATCGCGCATAATTACATTTACCCGACTAGTGCGAAAATACTGCAGGCGTGTTCGATGTAAGTTAGGAGTAGACAATCGTGAGCCACTATTCCGGCCACGGCAATTTCCCAGGCCACGACGGCGTGCAAGAAGATGTAGACGAAATATTTTCTCTCGTCGACAAAGTAATGCCCCGGAGTAGGTGGCAGTACAGGGCGAGATTCGTTGAGAGGTAACACGACATCCAGTAGTAGTGGTACGAGAGACATACACACAAAGAGAAATGCGGATACGAAGCAGTATACTGCAAAAGAAATTGCATTAGCGATATTGCTCGTGTAAGGATGTAACCCGTACAGCACACGAATGTTGAATCAACGTCTCAGAAACGTTCCATTACAACATTGCAATGTTGCATCAATGTTACGAAATGTAGATTCCACTTTCAAAAGATATTGCAAAAACGTCTAATGTCCACCAAATTGTTACGTTACAATTGCAAACGTTACAATTCAACATTCAGAAAACATTGTTGAATTATATCGAGTTAACATTGGTCGCGTTTAGCAGAATATTTTTCACAACTGCTGGAAGTGCTGACATCGAATTATTCCACTAAAATAACAATTCAATCTTAGCTCAGACAATTTCTAACCGGTGCAAAAATATTATATACATGTATATATAATAAATTATACATTTTTAAGTATCTATTTGAGTATCAAAAAATAATAATTTGCTCAAGATTGTTTTAACGTTGCAGCAATATAAAGAATCAATGTACAAACATTGACCAAGATTCAACGTAGAAAAGATATTTGTACTTCAACATTCAACATTGCAACGTTTCAACAACATTATTTTAACTCTGTGCTGTATGGGTAATGAAACACAGTTGACTCTTACACGAATATCCTAAGGAATATCGCCTGCCATTCTCAGCATATCTCTTCATAATCTCGTACTCTTCCGGTGTTTCCAATTCGTCCCATTCGACCAACAGCCGATCAATCAGAGCTTTCATCTAGGATCACTGTCAATTAATAACCACTCTCCTAGCTTCTCTTCATAGTTTAACGCACTCTACGATGGAATATATTCAAGTGTGAGAGCCCGCAGGTATAGAAGTTAATTGCCCCTGGAACTATACGCTAATTAACGTACTTTATATTGGTTAAAGTAACACGTATACAGCTTCACCAGTGCTATAATCGCCAGCATGTATGCTCCCATGGTTTGAAATATGCATTGCAAGTCCTTGTCGCATATCACGAATTGAGCCATCTGTAATGCACCGCTTGTTTTATCGCTCTAAAGATTTCATTATATCCTTGCGTCTTCTCATGTCAGTTATATCTCGTTAATTTCATTTTTTAGAATCAATTTTCGGAGAAGATGTCATATAACTGTTTGCGATTACCTGTGGAATGAAGATAGAAGACAGGCACAGAGTCGCGAGGCTCAAATAGATTGTTTTGGATTTTGGATTTTGATGCGGCCACTGACCAGCCAACGATGACACTGTTTTCACGATGCCGTAATAATAGCTCGTGCTCGGGATGGACTCCATATTATATCTCAAAGACAGCTCGTCTCTCTCTCTCTTGGTCCAATCGACCAACTTGAGAATTTCATTTCATCCCCCTTGGGGATCGAGTTATAAGTATATAGGAGTACGGGAGGGGGTATAAAGTGAGGACCTTGCTACGAACATGTTAAATAGTAATGCTTAAATAATGCTCTACAATATAATTTCCTGCCGTTGTCTCTCTACGTGCGCGACAATGAACGACAGCTCTTTGTACGGGCACAAGTAGCATTTATTTCCTCGACAGTAAATATAATGTAGATTGTAGAGGAAAGCTGACCCCTATTGACACCGTGTTACACCGCAATTTGGAGGGAACTTTGCAAGCTTCCCTCCAAATGGTCGACATATCGATCGGCTGCATTGTTTTTCGCTCGACGGCGCAGCTCACTCATCCCAGATAGCCAAATATGTATTTCTACAATACCGTTACGGTGAGCGTGTACGCGTACTCTGCACATCAGTACCATATCTATAATATCACGTACGTGTGTACGGTACTCGAACCCGAGTTTTTGGCGTGACAGTCCGGGTGCGTTCCGTTGTGCTACAACGCATTACTATGATAAATCTTAACAAATATAAGTATTTCTGTTGTATGTGCGTTTGCGATTTAAAAAATATTCTTTCTCCTGCAAATTCCGAGCAGTACATCGAACAGTTCGATATACTTCTCGGAATTTGCAGAGAAAGTTTTCTTTTTTTAAAACGTAAACGTAGATACACTAGGAATATATCTGGGGACTCGTAAAAGGTTGAACGACGCTCGGCCATTTATTCAATTGTTAAATTGTACATAAAAGCTGAACGGTAAATTAATGCACATTAAAAATCTTACGTACACGCGATTGACAACAATACGTATACTATTCTAACGGGAGAAGTTTTCAGAGTTTTCACCTTTTGTTTTCGACGATGATCGATTGATGCCATCGCGCAATTAGTCAAATGGAACGGCTGTTACTGAAAGGATGCGAGTACCGTACAGTACGACACTGAAGTTTGTAGAACCTTTAAGGTAAAAGTACCACGTCGTTAAAGAAGCTTTAAAGCAACATTTGCTTCGCGCGTTTACCGTAGCTTATTTTGTGAAATTTATTTTACCGTAGTGAAGCTCTCCAGAGAGAAAATGTAGATTTTGCCAGCGCTTAAAAAACTCAGTCGCAGACTCTTAATCATTATCAATATAATTAATTTTTGTGACTTTGTGGATACTTTGTACCAACAGCTGTTATAGCTGGAATGTTTCACGCATTGCACACACATAAACACAAAAATTAAAATAACGTATAAGAAATATATAGGCGAACGGTCTCTCTTTTCGCAAGATCAAAAAAAAAAGAAAAATCTTACATTTTGTCGCGTATCTGAAGACTATGGTCTATCAGCTTTTGCCCTTCAAAACAGAGAAAGAACAAATGTATCAGTTCACCAATGACGTACACCGCGTACCTCATTGTTTCTAAAATATTGCTGCTGTCCTTCTGCTGCATAATCTTCATCAGCACGAAGAAATATCTTATATTTTAATATTTGGCAAAGTATAAGTACCACTCTTGATTTCACAACAAAGGAACGTACGTACTTGTAGCAATGTGATGCTCATCCCTATCGTTACTATCAATATCTGCATAGCGAATGGTACGCTAAACGTATCTTCAAGAAGTTGCGCGTACCTGTGGCAAACGAGAAATAAGATTGAAAACAAGTTCTTCCAGCCGAAGATACATTTCTTGTGACTACACGTTGACTCGAGCACTTTGGCCACCACGACGTACCAGTACCATTTCATCTTCCTCATCCTCGATATCGGCTTACCTTAAAGCTTCTTGATGCGCGTGCACAATGAACGCGACTCTCTTGCAGTATGTATTACCGATACTTTGTGTTTTCACTTGGTTATCGCGATTACAAAATAAACGTTTGAAACGAAATCTAACGAAAGCGAACGATTCATTACTCTGCATTTTACATGGAATCTAAAATACAATAAGTGATTTCGAAAATAATTGTTGATCACTCTTACCCAACTATAGCAAATGTACCACAAACATGCTCAACGTAAGTTACAAATATGCAATCGTGGGCGACTATTCCAGTCATAGCAATTTCCCAGGCTACGACAGCGTGCAAGAAGATGTAGAAGAAGTAGTCTTTCTCGTCGACAAAGTAGTATCCTGGATACGTCAGTAGAATAGGGCGGGATTTGTTGAGGGGTAACACAACGTCCAATAGTGGCGGTATGAGAGACATCGACAAAAATAGACAGAGAGCTGCAAAGCAATACACTACGCGAGAGATGAAAAGACGTCTGGTTATCGTTAAGTTCTCCTTTCTCACACGCGAGAAAGGAGCGGAGGAAAGAAACAAATGTATAGATGGAGATTGCACAGTTTATTCTTACGCGAGTATCCCAACGAGTATAGTCTACTATTCTTGGCATATTTCGTCATAATTTTGTACTCTTCGGACGTTTCCAATGCATTCCAGTCGACAAACAAATGGTCGGTGAGATGTTTCATCTAGGGACCGATTATAATAATGGGTGTCTTTATAGATTAACGCAACTATGGTGGAATTCTAGAGTAAGACATTGTGAATTTGACATATTTGAAATTCAAACGCTACGAAACGGTTGACGTAACAGTGTAATAAACGCTGCAGTGGACTTTCCAAAGTCAGCGCGATCCTTGAACCCATGAAATTGGCTTTGGTAATTGACTCGATAGATGTATACTTTGCTGTTAAAGTTTTACCTTGGTGTGAGTAATATGAGTTCGTATATAACGATCGAGCTCCCTTGCACCCTTACATCCTTTCACTCGTACACTTTTTGTACACTCGCAAAATCCCATATGAACAAGCTGATTTGTATTATATCCCTAGCGGAAAAAATTTCTATAGACAACTACAAAAAATTGACTTGAAATAGAAATTTGGATCGCGGAGAAAAACTCGCCTTCTTCTCGGTCTCTCCCCGTACCTCGTGACATCGTTGATAAATAATTACGATAAGAGCCCAAATAGCAATGCATGTCTAAAAGACATCATAAAGGTATCTTTAAGACAATTTTTAGACGTACACGAGGGGGAAACCGCTGAGGGTATTATGGTGTACAGATTTGCGACATTACTGGGCATTACTAGGCATCTTTTGGGCATTAGGCCTTTTGCTGGGGCATTATAAAGATAAAATAAGGTAAAATAAGATAAAGTAATGCCCACTGGGCATTAGTGGGCATTGGTGTACAAGATTTTGGTCAGCAATTTCCCCTTCGGACGTACATGTCTAAAAGACAACTTAATACCGTCTTAAAGATGTCTTTCAGACATGCATGCTCTCTGGGAGGACTATATTTTTACCAAGATCACTAGTTTTCGAAATTTTGATAACGCAAGAAGAGTATGTGTGTAACGTGCGTGTATAATATCGGCACTGTTTACACTGAGAAATGTCCCCATGGAACCTACATACGTTTACGATGGCGATGAGTTAAATATCGATTGGACGTTTCCGTGCTATTCCGTGCTATAGTGAGTGCGTACACATTGATAAGTTTTATCGCGAGCAAAAGTAAGATGTATCCAATTCAATTTCAATTTGTTCAAGGAACGCGCCGACGCTTGGAGAGAGAAACAACTTTTGTATCTACACAGTAGGTACTTTGTGGCGATTAATGTAGCACGTGTACAGTTTCACCAAGCACATAGTTGCTAACATTAAGGATGTCATAGTTTCAAAAATACATTGCAAATCTCTCTCACATGTCACAAATTTAGCCATCTGGAAGCATTGTTCTATTTTATTGTTAAAGAAAAAGGGACTTAAAAAATGAGTTTAACTATTACATACTACATTTGTTCGTAAAATGATCTCTGTGAAAAGACGAACCTTCTCACCTGTGGAACATTCATCGAAAGTATACTCAGGGTCACCAAGCCAACACAGAGCAATCTCGTTTTTGGCCTTTGATAAGGCCATTGACCAGCCAATGATGACACTCTTTTAACAACGTCGTAATAATGATCGAAAACGACGATACCCATAGCAAGAGTCTTTTGTCCTCTGATCTTGCGTGGCTGATTTAAAACTTGTTGTTTTTCCGCTAAAGCCCTACTCATTGTCAGATCTCTTGGTAAAGGGAAAAGTGACCTGACATCTCAAAAGCATATCTATATAATTACATCATATATAACACGGTATAAACGTTACAACGACTTTGCATAGCAATTGTGATATGAATGACAGCACGGTAAAGAGTGACACGTGGCTGTTATAGGACAGGAATAACATTTACGTGCCCGATTGACAAACACGTTCCGCGAATTCTCTCCCTCGCGCCGAACGTATCGACTACTGTAGAATTTGTGAGAAAATTCTTTAGACTGCTAGAGACCACAGGGACACGGTCACGTTACCTTCATTTCTTCTCTTTTTTTTCTTTCTAGAAACTAACGAAAGAAAATGTACACAGACACTACGGACTTGATTGCATTTCCAATTGCATTCGAAGCAACAGACAGCAGAGTAAGGTATACGTTTATAATATTTAATTGGTTTATACTTTGGTAGACGAGGTAAACGACGAGGTAAGGTCTAGTCTCTCTTCCGCAACGTCCCAGGTAGATGATAACATTTCTGATGACATTTCTACGTCAAAATGACAAGTGACGTCAGCTGGCTACGTGGGACGTTGCGGAAGAGAGACTAGACCTTACGTTTACCTCCCCAGTCAGAAATGACTCATCAATCGATGTCGAAACGACGTCAATATGACGGTTTCGATGTCCATATGACGTCGATATCGACGAGACATTTCTGACTGGGTCGTGAGAACAACGAATGAGTGTAATCTTGTACTTTGTAACTGTGTATCATCTATATTGCGTGAAAATAACCATTTTTTTCCTAAATTTTTATTAAACCTTTTAACAATAATTGAATAATTTTTGTATATATTTATTCTTTCATTACACAAAACATTTCAGAGTTACGAGTATCTTGTATCACGATTGATCACGATGCAATAGAGACGAACGAGTGATACAGAAACTCGCTGTAGTCAATATTACAATATATTACCATAAATGTTACTTACGCGCAAATGGGCAACAAACTTGCTTCGGTGTCGTATAAGAATTATTATGATTTTTGCAGACTTTCGCGGATGCGGGACTGATATTTGGACACTGACTGTTAGTCCAAAGATGAGAGTACGGTAAAATATGACAATGACGTTTGCATAATCTACGTATTGTTAAATAAATTAGAATATAATTCTACGACAATAACCAAATGTCTATTATGATCTTACCATGGTGAAGTTCTCCATTGAAAAAACGTAGACCTTGCCAGCGCTTAAGAAACTGGGTTGAAGACTCTTTTGCATCACAAATAGAAGCATCCTTTGCGACTTGGCGGGCGTTTCGTACCAAAGGCTGTTGTAGCTGCAATGCCTGAGTGATTAGGCCAACTAAATTCCGTAATTCAAAGTGGCTATTGCAGAAATTGAAATGTTTCATTTTACATTTTATCGCGGGTTTGAAGACTGTGATCTATTAGCTTCTGTCCCTCGAAACTAAGGCAGAATAGATGAATCAATTGACCAAAAACATACATCGCGTATCTTATCATTTCTAAAATACCGGTGCCCTGCTGCGCAATCTTCAAACACGAAAGAGATTCTTTGTAGAATTGCCTGATAGAATTATCTAAAATCTAAATGTATGACGAACACGGGGGTAAAATGTTGAAATGAATAAACTTACATACTTGTAACAAGGTAACGCTGATCATTACCGTATTTAACGCTATTTGTATGGCGAGCGTTAACGAAAACGTATCTTCGATCAGCTGAGCGAATCTATATGGCAAAAACGAGGGATAGAAACACGATCGTGTTAATATCTAACATATAAGTACGAGTCGACATTTTCCTCTGCTCCCTCTCTGTTGCCTCCGCCTCGCTTATTCTCTCTACTTTTCAAGTATACTCACTTTAAAGCCTTTCGATGCGTGTACACGGAAAATGCAATTTGTTTGCAATACGCGTCACTCGTACGAGAATGTAAAATGTTGGCGGTGTCGTTGCGTTTATACGTCAATCGTTCGAACCGAAATCTGCAAATATAGTCGCCGTTTGACGTCGTCAAACTTGTCAAATGTCATTGATTGTCGTCACGCACAATTGTTTTTACCCGACTAGTGTGAAAATACTGCAAACGTGTTCGATGTAAGTCAGGAGCATGCAGTCGTGGGTAACTATGCCGGTCATAGCAATTTCCCAGGCCATGATAGCATGCGAGAAGGTGTAGAAGAAATATTTCCTCTCGTCAACGAAATAGTGTCCCGGATAAGTCGACAGTATAGGACGGGATTCGTTGAGAGGCAACACGATATCCAACAGTTGTGGTATCAGGGACACGGACATAAACACATACACGGCGAAATAGCAATACACTGCAACACGGACGAAGCGTTCGTCCGACGGTAGCCATAAATTGTCATTTCGCGAAAATGATTACAGGCAGAGCCGAACGTCGTGAATGGAAATCGCATGGTTCATTTCTTACACGAGTATCCCAAAGAATATCGCCTCCCGTTCTTGGCGTACCTCTCCATAATTTCGTACTCTTCTGGCGTTTCCAATTCGTCCCAGTCAACGAATAGCTGATCGATTAAAACTTTCATCTAACAATAAGACCAATGTATCAACGATTATAATAAACTTTCATTTACCAATACATTAACAATTACAATATAAATGATGGAATATAAGGCGATGCAGTCCCTGATGGAAATATTTAACTAAAATTGATTTTTGAATGAAATTTGGCTCAAGTGTACTTGGATATTCAGTAAATTTCACAACTGTTTACCTTTCAACTTTTATACATGCACTTTCCTCGCATTTCATCTCGCTACATCACATTGGATTTCACTAGTTAAGAAAATTATCATTTATTTTGAGATACACTCATTGTCAGTAATTTCTCAATAAACTTTCACTTCCCTTGCCATCGATTTCATAGTTTCGTATGTTTCATAGTAGTCACTCTCAGCAAAATATTTCCATCAGCAAAGAGATTTGCTCCCGTATGTATGGATATAAACGATTGTAAACTCGAGAAGCATGATTAATTTTACGTACTTTACATCGGTTAAAGTAACACGTGTACAGCTTCACCAATGTTACGGTTGTCAGCATGTAGGACGTCATAGTTTCAAAGATACATTGCAAGTTTCCGTTGCACGTGACAAATTTAGCTATCTAAAAATTCAATGTTCAAACGTTAAATTAAAGCCCTCGCTATTTCCATTGACTGTGAAAATTACCTGCGGAATAATCATAGAAATAGTGCTCAAAGTCACCAAGATCACACAAAACAATCTTGTCATTGGTCTCTGATAGGGCCACTGGCCGGACAATGACGATACCTTCTTAACGACGTCATAATAGTGACTGCACTTGGCGTTCATAGTTTTCGTCTTTCGTCTTCTCCAGCTAGCTGATTTCAGACTCTCATTTTACCTACAAGATTTCCCTACAAAGTTCCCTTATTGTTACGAGGGGGATAATTTAATATATCCTGAACAGCTCATGTATAATGCATAATACAAACGTTATATCTACGCCTAGCTATAATATTTTCTCACAACTGTCTCTCGCGGCATAGCTATTTCCACGAAGCACGTTGTAGCTTGTATACGGACGATCATAGTATTTATTTCTTTGACACTAATTGTAAGTGTAACGTAGAGCGTAGAGGGAAGTTGAAGCCCAATTGATTGGCGTGCTCGCTTAGTACTATACGTTGTCAAATTCCCTCCGAGTGGGACTTATCGATCTCAATCAGTAGAGTACTTTTTTAGTTGCGGGAGCAACCTTTTCATTCGGCAAGTACAATCTATGCTTAACAACGATACTCTTACCTCTGACAGAACTTCATACAAGCCAAGTGTACAAATTATATAAAATATTATGTATATGATTAGTATAAAAATTTGTTTATACTTTATTAATGAAAGTGTTAGAGACATCGTTTTCGATGGCTTCGTGTTTACGAAAATGTTACCCCTCTTCTACGAGAGTTACGTATTAAGATTTCAAGATTTCAATTTCCAAAAGTTTCCAGCCCAAGAGATGTAAGAGATAAAAGAAACCACTTTATTTTTCAGTATCATTATTCCTTTTAATTTAAGATGCTTGTTTCACTTTATCACCTGTCTCTTGGACCAGTATAGCTTTCGCTGCACGACTCTCTTATAGGACAGAGACAACACTTACGTCCATCGCCAAGCACGATTTTGTAAATTTCTATCCACGTACAGCATCGATTATATCAAATATCCAAGAAAACTCTTCAGTCTTTTAATACAGGGATGATGTTTTCTCTTCCTTTCTCTTTTTGCTCTCTGGCCGAACTAACGAGAGAACGTACGAACTGTACTGTATACAAATTTATTCAAAGCAATCGACAGCAGAGAATCCATCCTTGGCGAATTATATAGCACGGCAGACTATTTTAGCAGACATTGCGGATGATTGTGAGGAAAAAGCAGTTTTACCTCGCGTGATAACAACGAATGAGTGAGTAATTGCAATTGTATCTTGTAACTGTGTCGCGAAATTATATCGGCAAGTCCATATACATATATTGCGTCACATAAAGATTACAATTTCCCTTGTAACTGACTATAATCTGACAAATTTTATACGTTTCTCATCGCACAAAAAGCTCATTCAGACTTACATCTTCTTTTCACGATGCAATTTTCATTTGATTTCAAGTACTACACAGAGACAAGCGAGTGATAAGAATTCGCTATAAATAAAAAGTCAGCCAAGTTACAATGTTGCTACCAGAAATATTACTCAAATGGGGCAAATGGATAATATATACTTGCCTTGATAAGACTCACATAAGAATTATGATTTTTGCGGACAGACTTGATCGCGTTTTACTTAATTATTCCAGAGACGCGAGTACAGTAAAGTACGACATTGAAGTTTGCACAATCTTAAAACGCAAATTATTAAATGAATTAATAACATAATCTTATATGACAATAACAAAGTGTCCATTATAATTTTACCATGGTAAAGTTCTCCATTGAGAAAACATAGACCTTGCCAGCGCTTAAGAAAATGGGTTGAAGACTCTTTTGCATCACAAACAGAAGCATCCTTTGCAACTTGGCGGGCGTTTCGTACCAAAAACTGTTGTAGCTGCAACACTCGAGTGATATACGCTAACCAAATTCCGATAAAGTAATTGCCATAGTCACAAAATCATTCACCTTACATTTTCTCGCGGGTTTGCAGACTGTGATCGATCAGTCTTTGTCCCTCGAAACTTAGGCAGAATAGATGAATCAATTGACCAAAGACATACATCGCGTATCTTATCATTTGTAAGAGACTAGCTTTTTGCTGTGTAACCTTGAGTACAAAAAATATTTTATTCTCACGCGTCTTGTAAAAGGGATTGCCTGATTTTAAATAGGCGAGAGTAAAGATCACATGTTTGATATGGATAGAATCTGGAGATACATAAACGTACTTGTAACAAGGTAGTGCTGATCATTACTGTGTTTAACGCTAGTTGTATAGCCAGCGTTAACGAGAACGTATCTCCAATTAGTTGGGCGAATCTATAATGGCAATTAAAAGTGAGAGATGTAATAATAACACGAATTGAAATTCTCCCCCCTCCCCCCATACACACACACACACACCTCCATATATATGTATACATATTACTCACTTTAAAGCTTTTCGGTGCGTATACACGGAGAATGCAATTTGTTTGTTGTACGCGTCACTTGTTTGAGAATGTAACACTTTAACATCGTCGTATACCAATCGTTCAAACCGAAATCTGCAATCATATTCTCAATGCCATATGTATGTATGCACATGGCATGTGGCTAACAAGATAATGCAATGTTTTTACCCGACTAATGCGAAAATACTGCAGACATGTTCGATGTAAGTTAGGAGCATGCAGTCGTGGGAGAGTATCACAGTAACAGCAATTTCCCAGGCCATTATAGAATGTGAGAAAATATACAAGAAATATTTTCTCTCGTCAACGAAATAATGTGCCGGATATGTCGGCAGTATAGGACGAGATTCGTTGAGAGGTAAAACGACATCCAACACTTGCGGTATCAGGGATATGGATACGAACACATATACGCCAAAATAGTAATACACTGCAACACAGATCAATTGTGTTAACGCTCAACTATTACAGTAATTGCAATGCGGATTAAATTGTAATTGTAATTTTGTTACCCTACTAGAAAATGATAACGGGCTCTTACACGAGTATCCCAAAGAGTATCGCCTGCCATTCTTGGCGTACCTCTTCATAATTTCGTACTCTTCTGGCGTTTCCAATTCGTCCCAATCAACGAATAACTGATCAATTAGAACTTTCATCTAAGAGTATATCAACGATTAACAATGACACTTTCCTTTCCTAATACATTCTAACGACATAATGTACATACACACACACATACATATTATACATATATAAAGAAGTGGAATAATTTCACGTACTTTACATCGGTTGAAATAACACGTGTACAACTTGACCAATGTTATGATTGTCAACATATAGGATGTCAGGGTGTTAAAGATACATTGTAAGTTTCCGTCGCATATTACAAATTTAGCAGTCTATTATAGAAATGGAAATATTAAAGATACCTCGCCTAATTCACTTTTGTTGAGAATTAACCATTATACCTGTGGAATAATCATAGACATCGTACTGAGAGTCATCAAGATTACACCGAACAGTCTCGTTATTGGTCTCTGATAGGGCCACTGGCCCGACAATGACGATAGTTTTTTAACGACGTCATAGTAGTGACTCGACTTGGCGTTCATAGTTTTAGTCTTTCGTCTCCGACTCAGTCTAGGTAACTAAGTTCAGACTTTCATTTTATCTAATGAAGTGTATACCATCCCCTTTTCGTGGATGAGAAATAGTTAGAAATAGTAGAGTCCTAGACAGGTCATGCATAGTGCACAGTGTAAACGCCTACAACTGCGGGGTTTTTCCCACAATTATATCGTGGCACGTTTGCCCCAGGTTGACTCGTAAATCGTAACGCGTTACGGAAAGCTGCTCGTACGATAATAGTATTTGTTACTTTGACACTAAATGTAACGTAACGAAAATGCAGCCCCATTGATGGGCGTGTCGTGCAGCATGTTTTCTGCGAACGGGACTTATCGACCAGAAAAGTGCTTCTTTATTTTTCTCGCGGCATTTCTCTGATAGCACCCTCGTCATTCAGAAAGTAAAGTTTAACTTTAGACTAGAACTAAAAGATGAGACTATTATCTTAGATAAAACTAGGTATGTATTACAGATTGTAAACATTAGGTATGATTAACAAAAGTATATTAATATAGTATGTAATAAAAGTATTAGAGAGATACACGTATTTTCGATGGCTCGACATCGCTGTCATTTGCTGGACATGCCAAGTTACGCAGCTGCTATTGAAAGGACGAGAGTACCGTAAAGTACGACATTGAGGTTTGTAGAATCTTGAAAGCAAGAGTATCGTGTGTCATTAGGAAAGCTGCGAGACTACGTTTGCGACTTGCGACGCGAAATAATTCTCGCTTTACCATAGTGAAGCTCTGTAGAGAGAAAATGTAAATTTTGCCGGCGCTTAAGAAACTCGGGTGGAGACTCTTCATCATCACTAGCACAATCATCTTTTGTAATTTCATGGACGCTTTGTACCAGGAGCTGCTATACCTGCGACATTTTAACACGTAATAACAGCATAAATGACTGCACATATTTCTCTCTCCGAGTCGAGAATAATTTCGTCCGAGCTTACATTTTATCGCGTATCTGAAGGCTATGATCTATCAACCTTTGTCCCTCGAAGCTAAGAAAGAACAGATGAATCAGTTGACCTACGACATAAAACACGTACCTCATCGCTTCCAAGATATCGCTATTATCCTGTGTAATCTGCAGCAAAGAGCAAAAGTGAGTGTGTGTGTGAGACGAAGAATGACTCCAAAAGTCGCCTATTTCGTCGCCCTCGAAATCTGATTTGAATTTGGTCCTAAACGATAGTTTATAATAAGACATTAATTCTTGAAAAGTTTTGACTTGAGCCTACTTTTAGTTGCTGAGTTATAAGGCCTCAAAGTCGCGTAAAAGTCACCTCCAATTTTTTAAATGGAACCTTCTATTGTTTCACATCAGCCCATAAGACTGATAGTATATAACAGCAACTTTGAGGCCTTATAACTCAGCAACTAAAAGTAGGCTCAATTCGAAACTTTTCAAGAATTAATGTCTTATTATAAACTATCGTTTAGGACAATTTCAAACCGGATTTCGGGGGGGGGGGGGGGGGTGGACGAAATAGGCGATTTTTGGGATCTTAGGGTCACTCTTTGATTTTTGTTTGCAGAGGTTTGCTCGTAAAGTCGTAAGGCAAAAAAGGGGAGGTGGATTCGTAAGAATTATCAGGCTTGTTTATTACTTGCAGCAAACTAATGCTCATCCCTATCGTCACCATCAACATCTGCACGGCGAAAGGTACGGTAAAGGTATCTTCCAGAAGTTGCGCATACCTGCGACAAACGGGAGAGAGTTTATCGTGATTCTCGGATCACGCGTCGGCGTGAGCGCGCGTTATCGCGTTAAAAATCGATCACTCACTCTAAAGCTTCGCGGTGTTTACGCACGAGGAGCGCAACTCTCTTGGAATACGTATCGTCGCTATTACTTATCGATATCATAAATTCCAGGCTCTCTTTCCCATCGTGAAACAAATGTTCGTAATGAAATCTGCAAGTTGACGCAAGTCGATGCGAGCGAAACTCCGTTGAATTCCAAGCGACAAATTCGTGATCCTTACCCCGTTACAGCAAACATGCTGCAAACATGCTCAATGTATGTCACAAGCAAGCAATCGTGAGCAATCAGACCGGCTATGACGATTTCCCAGGCCACGATGGAATGCCAGAATATTTGAAAGAAGTAGTCTCGTATGTCGACAAAGTAGTATCCTCGATACGGCGGCAATATGGGACGAGATTGGTTGAGAGGCAGCACGATATCGAGGGTATACGGTATGAGGGACATTGACGTAAAAATGATTACCGCCGCGAAGCAATATACTGTAACGTAGTACATACGACATTTATGTATTGCTACATAGCTACGTTAGCGCTAAACGTTTATTAATTCTCACCGGAATATATCAAACAGAAACGTTTACCATTCATGGCGTAGGACTTCATAATCTCGTACTCTTCCCAGGTATTTAACTCTTCCCATGCGTAGAACAAGTGTCGAGTGAGGTGTTTAATCTGGCAAAGAGCACCGATCGATAGTCTTAATTAATTTTAACATTGTTTTTTCTCGTCTTTCTATACTTTCTTTAAATTTCCCGCTTTTCCCTTCTAAATCTCTAATCAGATCTTTGCTTGTTGCTACATGTTACAAAACATACTGTACGAGTGTTGAACTGAAAGGTGTACACCTTCAACAGAGCCACGAATGACAGCAAGTACGCTGTCATTGCTTGAAAAGTGCAATGCAAGTCCCTCTTGCACATGAATTGGTACGCTAGCTGAAAGAGAGAAAAGGGGACGAAAGTTTGTACATCGATTGGTATATTAATTGGCGATCACGTCATTACTCATACTATACCTGTGGTAAAAGTATAGTTAACAAGACCACGGTTAACAAGGCGACACGTAACGCTCTCGTTTGTGGCTTCAGATCTGGCCACATACCGGTGAGCGATGATATTTTATAAACGGTATTGTAATGGCTGGCAATGGCCTCCATAGCTCTTCTCTAAACCCTGCTAAAGCGATCCGTTGCCGACTCCAAACTTTCGCTACCTTCGCCTTTTCCGCCACGGTCAACTATTATATATATATATATACTTTTGCTAAATAATTTTGTCGCATCTCCGATGATTGACAAGCGCATCTCCTGGTGCCGTAGCATTTCGTTCCTCTGAACACTAATTGCATAGTTTCTCTGACGATTTCCATTCCCCGCTCCCCAGCTGACGGTTTTCCTTCCATACATATAATGGTATAGAATATATCGATCGGAAAGAAATTAATACTTTCCGTTGGTGTCACTCGCCCTCTTCTTGGTATTTGATTATATAGATATAGAGCATAGGGGATAGGGGGTATTAGGGAGAGAAGCGAGGCGTTCGACAGTCGAGGTTTAGAGTTCGAAAGACGATCCGTATCTCGAACAGAAAGGTTGGTTGCTTGCCTCCCGAGTGTCTCGTTAAATCGGTGAAATGTTAATCAATAATAAATATCAGTATACATGACATATAATTTTTACAAGTTTTAAAGTGTTCAAGTTCAGACATTTATATATTTTTACATAAACTATAATTTTATACATCTATAAAATTATATTACAGAACTGTGTAGAATTGTAAAAAATTATATAGAAATATAAAAATATGTATGGACATATTTCGTGTGTAATTGGATATAACCATGCCGGAAATAATTCTACAAAACTGCAAAATATTATAGCTGCCAGGACCTAAGAAATTCTACGTAAATTTAAAAAGTGTTATAAAAATCAACATGAAAATGCTACAACTGGAAGACTTTTTTTAATTTTCGCAATATCCTACAAGCAAGCAGGCGCTTTAAATTCTTTAAGATTTTGTTTCTCAAATTTTTCAAACTAGCAAAGCTTTGTGCTAATTTCTGCAAAATTGTACATCTTCATGAAATACTACTTGCAATCATTTCTTGCTTTGAGAACATTGTGATTTGTGGTACTATCTCGTAGATATTTTTACAAAAGCATTAATGTCTCAACGAAGACACAAAAATTTCTACAAATTTCTCTTTCAAGTCAATTTTTTGTAGTTACAATTTATAGAAACTCCCGCTAGGTAAAAACTGTAAAAAATTTTTTACCGGGATGGTTATCATTGCCAATCCTAATCGCTCAAGGGATAACTTTCTCACCTGCTCGCGCGCGAGACGCGATATATGCGAGTTTGCGTATCAAACCAGACTTCTCGTTAAGCCCGTGTCACACTACGTATTGCGGACGCGGATTGGATTACGGATCGTACAAATAGACAGTCGTCTATCCTGCGATCTGCAATCCGGATCCCAAGTTGCCTCGCTGTGATTGGCTGAATTTCGATCCACAATCCGTAATCCCAATCCAATCCGCGTCCGCAATACGTAGTGTGACACGGGCTTTAGACCGCCTCGCGAAAGGTTAAGTCCCAGTCTACAATAGAGATTTAAGCCCTAAGCCTTAAGAAATTGACTAATC